GAGCTATGCTCAAATCATCTTTACCTTTGATGTAGAGTGCTAAAAAGTGATGGATAATGAAGCTTCCATCATTCTGCGAGTCTGACAGTAGTATAAATTTTCTCTGTGAAAAGAAAAATGAGGTTGACAGTTATTCCTAGATAAGTGAATGTTTATGTTTTAGTTAATTTTTTTATTTCAATTAATTTTTGTTTTTCCTTCAATGTTTTAAATTCATTACCATACCGTACCATACCCAAAAACAATGGAAAAATAAAAAACTAACTACAACATTTATATTACATTTGTTGACATTTGTGCTACACGTGGTTCACTTTTGGGTGGCATTATCTCAGGTTGCCTTTACAGTGGTGTACGTATTGCATTGGTGTTGGCCAGTTGCCTGACAGAGCTTGTAATATGCCTCACCCATGCTGCTGCTTCATCCCTTCTAGTTCATCCAAAGTCTGGGGTACCAAAAAGCCCCCATCTTCTTTTGCAGTCCCTACTTGTGATCATTATGGGGAGTGCTTACATGGGGCGATATCCCAATGGCCAATCCCTACCATGAAAGTGGCAGGTACAAAACACAGGTCACAGGTGACAAGAGCAGGTCACTGTTCTATCCAGTCAGTAACAACTCAGATAACCTGCACTTTTGACCTGTGATCTGGATTTTGTACCTGCCATCATGTAGGTACAAAATGTGACAGCAGGTCACTTAGTTTGCTCTTGCTCTGGAAATAGCTGCAAATACTAACTTAATGGCATCATCTTAGAGCACCTTGTTTGCTGAGCATGGGGTGGGAGGAACTCCAGCATGAATTAATGGTACAGTTGATTTCACTGAGACCAAAGACTGCGTTTTACACCCCTAAGCAAGACGATGGACATAACTGCCTCTTTCACAAAGGAGTTACCCTCCACCACCCATCCTCCGGCCAGGAGCTAAGAAGCACATGCATAAAACATTTTCATGTACATGTGGCCCGACCCGGTCCCAGGCAACATTTGTGGCCAAATATTCGGTAGCTTAGCATTGTTCTACATATGATCGCGGCTAGAAAGGGATAAAAATGAACTTTATGAACGTAAATGTACCTTGGGGGGATCTTTTTCACTAACGTTTATCAGGGAATTCAACTCCACAAACATTCCTTTGGCTTCGACCGACCCTCAGCTGCTCGCTTAAAAAAGAGTGCGCCGACGCATTGTTCGTTCAGCGGCTGCTCACAATGGCTTAAACCGCGGTAAACTGGGCACATGTTCAAATGTAACAACAAAATGTCGGAAAAGTTCGAAATGTGGCTGCAAAATCTGTGTGATACGTTCAACTCTTTGACTGATATTCAAAGAAATACGACAGTGGAATGCATCATAAATCTATGTGGACCAGAGCAGCTTCGTTTTCTATCCACAAAACTAGAACTTCTAGTTAAAAGAGACTACCTCAAGTGCTTACCTTTGGAGCTGAGTTTTCACGTGTTGAAATGGTTGGACCCTGTTTCCTTGTGCCGTTGTTGTCTTGTGAGTAAGATATGGAACAAGGTTATTTTGAGCTGCGATGGTGTATGGCAAAACGCTTGTAAGCAACTTGGGTTGAATGTCGAAGAGGAACTTGCCGAAAATTCAAGTGCATCTTGGAAGCATATTTACTCTTTACATACACAAAATATAAGAAAGCTCAAAAGTGAAAGAGCTGTAGAGAGGAAACAACTTTATGGTCACACAGCTCGGGTGTTTGCTTTGTATTATCATGGAAATTATTTGGCAACTGGTGAGATTATACGGGTTGTGAATAGGTGACCCAATGCTTGGTTGTACAAAAAATTATTTTTTGAACAGAATGTTCTAATTTGGATCCTCCCCACCCCTCCCTCAGACAGATAGTAGGGAGCTTCAGCAAAAATGTTTTAAGGGGTTCATGTCAACCACAAGTGGACTTTGTGCATTCTTGGGCAGTGATATTGCCCAAATTTTCGGAGTGAAGACACTTCATAATACAAATTTGTTAGTGTCAAGACATTATAGAAGTGAGAAGCCAGTCGACATATGTCACTTATAAATGCCTTTGTTTAAGCTCCCTATTTTTCTTTATAGGTGCCATTATTATTATAATTTATTATTATTATTATTATTATTATTATTATTATTATTATTATTATTTTTGGTTTAGTAAAGTAAACATGTGAGGGTGAATCTTCATTCCAAGAGCGCTGCAAAAAATTTCAGTTTTGGTTGGTCTTGGTTGTGGAGGTGCAGATAAAAAACTTAGCAACCCTTGGATGTTATTTTGTCAAGGTTGAGGATACTTTAAAATTATTTAGCAGTAGTTTTAGTGCAAAGAAATCAGGGAAGGATGACTTTGTTTTTCTTTGTTTGTTTGCTCTGAGGATAAGCTCCTCTTCAACTAACTTTAAGCCTGTCCAATTTTTGCCATCGTTGTGGCTATCCTGATGTCATTCTTTTGGTAGGATCTGATGACCGGTCAGTGAGACTCTGGGACTTGACAACAGGACACTGTGTATATGTTCTGAAAACCCATACATGTGCAGATATTTGTTTTGACGATGACAAAGTCATTACTGCGTCATTTGATAACACTGTTAGTATGTGGGACTGGAAAACNGAGTGAAGACACTTCATAATACAAATTTGTTAGTGTCAAGACATTATAGAAGTGAGAAGCCAGTCGACATATGTCACTTATAAATGCCTTTGTTTAAGCTCCCTATTTTTCTTTATAGGTGCCATTATTATTATAATTTATTATTATTATTATTATTATTATTATTATTATTATTATTATTATTGTTATTATTATTTTTGGTTTAGTAAAGTAAACATGTGAGGGTGAATCTTCATTCCAAGAGCGCTGCAAAAAATTTCAGTTTTGGTTGGTCTTGGTTGTGGAGGTGCAGATAAAAAACTTAGCAACCCTTGGATGTTATTTTGTCAAGGTTGAGGATACTTTAAAATTATTTAGCAGTAGTTTTAGTGCAAAGAAATCAGGGAAGGATGACTTTGTTTTTCTTTGTTTGTTTGCTCTGAGGATAAGCTCCTCTTCAACTAACTTTAAGCCTGTCCAATTTTTGCCATTGTTGTGGCTATCCTGATGTCATTCTTTTGGTAGGATCTGATGACCGGTCAGTGAGACTCTGGGACTTGACAACAGGACACTGTGTATATGTTCTGAAAACCCATACATGTGCAGATATTTGTTTTGACGATGACAAAGTCATTACTGCGTCATTTGATAACACTGTTAGTATGTGGGACTGGAAAACTGGAGATGTCTTACAGTGCTTCAGAGGTCACACTGCAGCAGGTAATCTAGAGTTTAAAGTGCATACCTAATAATGATCTAATAGATGCCTGGGTATTTCACATTTAAATTAGGGGATGTCCAACACAAAGGAGGCACTTAAAAGAGAGAGAGAGCTGTTTATTCTCTTAACTGTAACAAGCTTAACAAAACTAAATGCTTTCGACCAAAAATATCAAGAGAGGTTATAAAATAGCAGAATATCCAGTCCATCCATTGATATGTCCAGGCCATCTTATTCTAGAGATCCATATTGCTCTTTCAAATCTCAACTTTGGCATCAGAATTCTTGTGCAGGGTCATTGTGTTGTCAGCATTGGCCTATCCTCACTTTGATCTTGACATTCAACTAGATGCAAGATGCATAAACCCTTGTTAATCAAGCAAGAAACTGCATAAATTAAATGATTTTGCCCCTTTTTGCAATTTGCTGGTATATATTGCGAAGTATATGTCATGGGGGACATTTATTAGACAGAGGGCAATTATTATTAGAGAGGGGCATCTAATGCAAATTTAACATTGTGAGTGGGGTGTTTATCAGACTACATGTAAATGTAGAGGTGTTTATTTGAGATGGGGCATCAATTAAATCATTTATTGTAATTTTTTTTGTTATCTGATAATGGATTCTGGTAGGATTCTCAACTCAAGCATGGGAACTACAGTGTATTGAAATTATTTTAAAATAATTATAGGACTTGCCCACCAAGACCTTGCAGTTTAAAATCTAAGACAGAGAAATACAGTTTTATTCAGGCCTTCTGATAATTTGAGAAAAAGTATTGAGAAATTACAGAATTTCCATGAGGATATGTCTTATTTTACAGCAGAAAATGTGTATCATATAGCACATTTTGTGATTTTTTATGAGAGGATTGGAGAACATATGGCACATTTTGCAATTTTTCGTGAGAAGATTTCACAAAGAACTCTTGTATTCAATGGATTTGCAACAAAAATTAAATATTTCAGAGGCTTGCTTTGAGTTTACAATGTTTCCAGTTTTGCTAATTTAAACTAAAGCAAATTTAAGTTCATGATTTTGTAATTCTTTCTTCAACAACAACAATTTCCCAAACAGGTGGCCTCATTTTAGACTAAAACTCTGTGATTTTTATCCTTTCCTACGAGTAAATCAACTGCTTGAGAAATCTGCTCTGCAAATTATTGAGGTGCAATCTATAATAAATTGTTGAAATGTGTGATCACCAGAAGTACTATTGTTTTTCCTTTTCCATCTGCTCTAGTTTTTACAGTTGATTACTGTGATGACCAGGACACAGTTGTGAGTGGCTCGGCAGATTCCACTGTTCGAATATGGAAGATGTCAACAGGGCAGTGCTTACAAACCAGATATGGACATACAGACTGGGTAATAAAGGTGAGATTTGTAGCTTTTAAATAGAATGCCAGATGCTCTTATGTGCCAGATGCTCTATCAAAATTAATGCAGTCTGGGGGGTGTAACTAGAAATTTTCTTGGGCTACGCACGTTTTTCAAATCTACCCTTCAAACTCTTCTGCCAAATCGTACTCGCGCGGGTGACTTGATTGAATTTCCGTTGTTTGGCAGTGAGGTAATTATCTCATCTTCTCACAGTAATCTCTGTTGGTTTTAGAATCGTGTTCTTAAGGATCATTTCTTTCCTTTGTTTTACGTCAGCTGTGAGTAATACATTAGATTACACTGGAGATGAGCCGTTCCCCGTTTTTATTAGAGAGCCTAAGCAACAACCACGGTGACGGCTACGAAAACGTCACTTAAAAAGAGAATTCGCGCTGCCTCAAACTTTATCGCGCTTATTCCATCTCATTTTTTTAATAATTCGTCAAATGTTGGCAATTTTTTTTGGGAGTTGAATTCTTAAGGACTGTATAAAAGTTCAGGAAAAGAAGAAGAAAGTCGTTGTCTTGTGTTCCCGTCCTTGACAAAACCTGAAACTAGGCACTTTCACGTGGTAGCCGTGTAACGACGGCAAAAAAAATGTACCAAAAAAAAGTGATGCACGTGCAAAGTTGTTGGTTGGTAATATAAACCTATCGCTTTTTTGCCGTTCTCGTTCCCGTCGCCGTCATCGTTGCTTAAGCTCCCTAATTACGATTTTTAACATCGGCTACGCCCCTGCAACTAACACATGGCGAATCCTATTCCATTTTTTAAAGGTTATTCTCAGAAAATCACAAGTGGAATCTCAAATTATAAAGAAAAACAAGTTGGTACTGCTAAGTATGGACAAATGTGCAATTAAGGTATGTTGTTAAAAGGGAAGTAGAGATTTAGATCATTGGATCCTTAAAACCCTCTCCTGCATTAATTTAATAACCAAAATTCAGTGATTTTTTTTAAACTTGTCGGTTGTTAAACGAACAAAATTGTGCCAACGGAGAGCTCATATTGAAATTACGGAGAGAGAAAACAGCATTCATTGATCCTTTAATTAAGGGCCTGTTTACATGGAGGTGGGGGACCCCAGGTGGGTGGGGTAACCCGCCTGTCCATATAATCTCTCATTTTAATTTGATCACGTTTACATGATAGGTGGGTTGATCCGCCGCGGTTTACCTCACCTAGCTGGGGTCCCCTACGTCCATGTAAACAGGCCCTAAGTCTGCGATCATTTGAATTTTTTGTTATGGTCTCTCAGTTTTTGTCCGTACTTTTTAGTGCTTTTTCAGGGAAAAGCCCGGTCTTTTTCGTTTTGTTTGTTTTGTTTTTGTTTGTTTTTCTGTTTAGTCTTTTCGTGCAGTTTTTTTTTTCATGTAGACTTTACTGAGAAGTCTGAAAGTGCAAAGTGACCAACAAAGTTTAAGTTCTAGTTACATTCTGTTAGATCGTTGCTCCAAGGATGGGGGGTGGGGTAGCGGGAATGCTCGTTGGACAGTTAGAATTAAAAACCCCAAGAAGACAAATCCAGGTGTGGCTCAGGCTTTACTTTACCCCTGAAAGAGACCTTACTAAAACAGGCTGCCAATTACAACAGTAAATTAAAGGGGGCTTTGTCAAGAAATTTGTTAAAACTCAAACGGTAAGAACAGCCATCAAAGCAACTTTCCAAAATTCAGTTCATATAATATATTTTTTATACAGCCACGGCTTGTGTGTGTTAGGTCGTGTGCTAATGAGGAAAAGTGTAGACAGTGTCGACAGCAAAAATTCGCCTATAAGTTAAAACTTTAACTTTCTGCCCTAAAACCTTAAGTTAGACAAAAAATCTGCAGTTGACATTCCCCGAGCGAGACGATGAGTATTCCACCTCCTCTGTAATTTGAGTGTCTTCCTCTGCTTCCACTAAGGCCTGTAGCTCTACATTCCCGCAAATTTGAGATCCCCACACGGTGTAAAACCACAACCCAGAAATATGTTATCATACTTGTGAAGTAGTCCTCGCGTGATAATTACATGTAGACATTCAACGAGTCCTTTACGTACTGTATTTTTTTCGTGGTAGGTCTGGTCACTAGCTCAAGACAGTGAAAAGTGCCTGGGAACTCTGAGCCCATTGGAGTCAAATATTCATCTACATCCTCGTCTCCAGTTTGATGGGAAAACTATTGCTTGTTCTTCAGAGGCGGGAGTTCTGTTGTGGGACTTAAAAACTTTACAGATAACAAGGTAGGAAAGTCGATAGTTCAAAAAACGTATTTTTTGTACTGTTCATAAAAATCCTCGAGACAACCATTCCTTTCAGGGTCCGAAGCAAACTTTTAGCAGCTATTCGCCCATTTGCCTTTTTAGAAACGAAAAGGGAACTGGACCGAGTCAACTATTTCGCAAAGACTTCTGGGACTGTTACTTGAGACAGAGAAAAAATTGGCCAATATCTGACTGGCTGCCCTGCGAGCAGAGGCTACATTTTCGCTGTGTGAGTTGACGTGCGAAAAGTAGCCTCTGCCGAAAACCGTTCAATTTTCTATCGTGCATGCGCGAAATTCGTCACGCGATTCGCAAGCAAAATCAGTAATCGTCAGGTCTGGTTTAGCGTGTCGTGTTAAAGGGGCAATTGTTCAGATTGTTCACCCGTGATTTCAGGCGTGCACCAAGGAACAATACTCAGCCTAATCTTATTTATCATTGATATAAATGATATTTCGACAAACATAACTTCAACAGTCAAAATCTACGCTTATGACACCAAAATCTATCGCACGATCAATGAGGCTGATAAGGATATACCAGCCTTACAGCTTGACCTGAATAGATTAAGCGATTGGGCTAACAAGTGGCAGTTGCGCTTTAATCCCGAAAAATGTGAAGTCATGCGTGCAACGCACAGTAGGGAGGGATCAAAGCCAAGTTAGTCGCTAGGTGTTCAACAAAAATCTGTTGAAAGTGTCAAGGACCGGGGGGTCACAATAAAGGGGAACACTGGGAATGAGTGCAAAGATAGCCCACGTTTTCTATAAATTTGCTCTATGCAACTTGGCGCAGAAGGGCGTTATGGGAACCTCAGGGATCTGACTACTCTGGAGTGTGAGTCTAAATAAGAGTACGAGATCGTAAATTAAGGTCATGTGGTTTTGGCTATGATCACCTAACCCAGGAACCTTGTCCCCAACTTGTGCTGGTCAGCAGCAGGAAGGAATGAGAGTTCTGAAAAAAAGAACAACAGGCTCCACTTAGAATTCCAAAGTCGTTCTCGTACTAGTATCTTTTAAGCACGCTATTATCTACCGACTCTTGGGTCCTCCTGTGGTCGCTTGAGTAGTAAGCCTCTAAGGTCGGTATTCAAGTACATCGATCGATACCTCTGTTATTAAAGATTGTATGGTCACTGCTAGAGACTGTTATGTCCCTATTGGTTCGTTTCTAGTGGTCGTGAGATGGGGTCGATTCCCAACACTATTTGGGAGCTTAAGCAACTACGACGACGAGCACAACGACGACTTCAAAAAACAATAGGTTTAATGATCAAAACAACAGCTCTGCACGTGCATCACGCTTTTTAGTACATTTCTTTGACATCCACTGCACGACTACGACGTGAAACCTCCTAATTTGCCGTTTTATGGAGGACGTGGGCATGCGACGACGAATTTTCCTTCCTCTTTTTGAACCTGAATAAAATCCTTAAGCAGTCAACTTCAAGAAAAGTCGCCAGTATTTCACATATTGAGCGGGTCCAAATATACGCGATTAAGTTTGAAAGAACGCAAGTTCATTTTTTTTACCGACGTTTTCACGGCCGTCGTCGTCGTCCTCGCTTCAGGTCACTATTGTGGTACGAAAATGTTTATGAGGATATTTTATCATTGCATTACTCATAAACTGGCTAATAAAATTGTTTGATCGATGATAACTCTTTGGAAAATGGTGCGGTTTTTTTTTGTAAAATACTCTTACATTTATTCGCAGGGTCCTCACCGCATCGCCTTCCAAGTGGCTGGTAGCTTACGGACACGTGTATACTCTTCTAATGGACATGAACTCTCTGTATGTGGTAAGGACAACAAACGAGCAAATCGTGGCGGAATATTCTCTTCCTCCGTTTAGAAGGTCAGTGCGTGGCTCTAACTTTATCCCCGGTGAAATCACGTGGCTTGATGGTCTCCCTACCATACCCCTAGAGAACCTTATATTCGCCACGAGCATGCCGGACTACAGTGTTTTACTGCTCATACTCAAAGGCGGAACGTGACATAAAGTTGAACAAATCGCAATCTCGTTCTCCCCCAGAGGCTGCTTTTCCGTTGCAGTGGCGGATCCAGGGAAGGGGCCGGGGGTCCTGTGCCTCCCCCTTATTTTTAGACCAAAGGGAGGCCCGACCGGGTCACCCCTTATCTCAGGGTCTGAATGACCGCCCCCCGTCCCCCGTGGACGGTCTGGTCTGGATCCGCCACTGTCTTGTGCAGCTGAAGGGCAACAACACGTCCGCTGGACAAGAGTAACGTGGCCTTTGGTGGAAAGAGGTTGAACCTATCGAAGTTCTTCGTATTGTACTTGGAATGGCAGAATTATTGAATAATCGAAGAAGATAAAGAAAAAACTCAGCGAAGGTTAGGATTATCGAATAGGTAGAAGTATAAACACTTTGTGTTCAAATTCAGGTGGTAGTTATAATAAATTACAAGAAGTTTCTTTTTTGTGACTGCTTTGAATGAATTACTTTTCGTAATTTCCAGTAGTCGATGAATCCAGACTGTACTTTTATCAGTGCCGTTTCACAAAAGTACACGTCAAATTTAATCGATGAAGCTAACATGCCGGTTGAAGTTTGTAATAACTAAATTTTTGGAACAAAATGGCGTAAATCTTCGTGTTGCATTGACTGACTCTTCTCCAGTCGTGTATGTTTGGATCACGTGAGAAGCGTGACCGAAGAAGGTGATGGGAAGGAGGAATGCTCTTCCCTCTTTCCTCCTTCCCATCACTCCTTGCGCTTCCCTTGACCGCACTTCTTTCGTTAATGTAAATAGGAGACTGAGAGATGACTGGCGACGAGTCAGGTGCGTTGGAATTGGTCAGCGCGACTGACTTAAATGTATTTAATTAAAATTACACATTTAGGCCAAATCGATCCACTAACCACCTCCCCCTCCCCTTAGCCAACATTTGTCCCTAAGTGAGAAGTCATGTTGGCTTAGGAGAGGGGTAGGCGGGCAGTTTCCCTGAACCCTAAATTGATCCCCGGCAATATTTCCACAGGTGAGGGAAAGTGCATATATTATAGCAATATTAGTTTGGCTACTATCAAAAATCAGGGAGTTGCGGTCTTGATCTACAGAGGGCCTTACCATTTTGCAAGCCGTGATTTTCACGCGCGCTCGCGTTTGGTTCCCTCCACTATCCCTGAGGAAAAATGGGGACTACTTGTAGTCTAGTATGGATGAGCATTTTCATTATACATTGTTCCCACTATATGTCTATATGCCTACAATCAATGTTGGAAGTCAGCTTAGCCTACAGATTAGTCAGTTATCTGCAAGTAGATTACTGACTTATCTGTAGGTTGGGCGTGCAATGCATGATTTCCAAGAGCAATGTCAAACTGTGTTCGGTGCAACGGTGTGTTTGTCGTTATTTTTCTCAAAGCAATGTATAATAAAACTGTTAATAGATTCAGTTTTTGTGATACCTGGAATAATCAAGGTCTCAACAAGTGTTATGAGCCTTGGCCTTCGGCCCCTGTTATAACATTTACAGCGAGAAAAATCGCTAGCGCCTGTGATAATTCCATATCACCTTCCGTATCACCTTCCTTGCGAGAGGCGATTTCCACGCGTGTATTTCCCTCGTTCTTCTATAGCACCCAAGGAAATGAGGCACTTAACTGTACACGTAGTCTAATCTAGGAAGTAAGGGGACAAATGGGATTCCCTTTATCTTTCTTGTCTAGGATCAATGTCCCCTGTAAATGCCTCTGGACCGTAGTTAATAGATAAAAATCGATATCGGAAATCAATCGATATCATCGATATTAATCGATTTAATCCGCCGATTAATATCGATTGATATCGAAAATTGATAGAAATCAAAGTCACAAAAAAAATTTATCGATTATTATCAATTGACAAAATCGATAACAATCGATAGGAATCGATAGTAATCGATAAAAAATCATCGATATTAATCGAAGTCACAACTTTTGTTCTTTATCGATTTCGATCGATTGTTGTCAGAAATCGATATTGATCATCGATTAAATGTCGATTACTATAGATTAACTACATGAAGGGGTACCTCAGGTTGTGGAGTGTGGGCTGTGGGGATGGGAAGAAGTATTTCTCTCCCTCTCCCTGACGTTCTTCCACAGTTGGTTTATCAGCGGCCTGTCTGTTTGTTAGGGCAAAACTGGCCGGCTACATCGATTATATGCCGCATTTATTTGCTTAAAACACTGTATCGATTAGTCGTTTGAATGCTTTCCATGAAACCGCGATTTCATTTTTTATGATAAAAGATTGAATTGTTTGCGGGAATTTAATCTCCAAAAATTATTAGAATTGCCTCCATTGAACTTATTCATTTCACTGATTGATTCACTGCTCAAAGCAGCTTGAAACCTTTTTCTGTTTTACAGGAAACCGACTTAATCCTGAGTAAACAGCTATTTGATTGGAAGTGTCATGATCAGTGTTTTTAATTTTCTCTGTTTGTTTTAAATATACATCTTTATTGTCTTGTCAAAGAGGTATTCACCATTTGTTACCGATTTCTGTCAAGATCAGCACGAAACGTTCCTCGTCAAGGATTATTGATCGTGAGATTTTAAAATTTGTGGGTGTCCATATTCGATCCATACATGCTTGTTTGAGGATAATATATTAGCTGGTGTATTCGTAAGTCCTTTGATAGTAAATATGTCTTACTATCAATACATTAGCGAGCCGGCTTATCTTTTGGTTTCATTAAAAAGTTCGAGATGACAGTTTTCGAAAGATCTCGAAACTGGCAAGCCAACGCGCTTAGTATAACTTCACTATGATAGAAGTGTGGGTGTCCATATTCGATCTATACGTGCTTGTCGAGAATAATATATTAGCTGGTGTAATCGTAATGCCATTGATTAAAAATGTGATTTAATATCGATATATTAGCGAGCCTTCTTGACTTTTGGTTTCATTAAAAAGTTCGAGATGACAATTTTCGAAAGGGAAGCCAACGATTATTATAACTTCAGTATGATAAACTAGAAAAACTTTGAGGCCTTGTTACATTGAGTATCATCTGTACATAAAATGATCCTGAAGAAAGGAAAGTAATTTGTAAGAAAACGCTCTGTGTATGATGGCCCTTGAAGAAAGCTTGACTGCGGAAAGCTAGACTCTGTGGTCATGTGGGAAAATACAGGGATTCTGAACAGGGAGAGACGAAAGTGGTTAATTGCTAACACTTTGAATCACATAACAGTTTATTATTAAAAGACTTAATAAAACAGTCATTTCTCAACATTCTATAACCAGATAACGCCCTCTCCTGGTTGTTGTATGTTGTTGATTCAGGCGTCGTATTGCTTGCCGCCAAAAATAGTTTCGAATCTGGCCAGGTTTCCAGCGAGGTATGATCCAATTGGGTTATTAATAACAAAAGGGTTTGTAATTAACTACACAAGTATCTTTGGCCAGTCTGACAACTTTCGTGTTTTGTCATTCACTCTGTTTGCTCTGAACGCTTGTCCTACATCCGCTCGTATTGAAGAGGTATTATTCCGTCAGTGTAAATTCCATTAGCACCTTGTGTTTTCGTTAATCTCTCAGCGCAGGATTAAGCGTTTTGTTAAGAAGTTGCAGTGCTTCGGCAGACGGAAACAAACGTGTTTTCACGTCGTGCCAGACACAACACGCTTCGCCAGAATGGCTGTCCTAATTTTTCTTCTCGCGTTTTGGACTTTTTCGTGCGTGGACGCGGATGGAAAAGCCTCAACAAGTGCCGAGTTTTATGTTGACGATCCATCAATCGAAAATCCAGATCGCCCGCCTGTAGTAGACGATCGACCCGGCGTTTTTAACATGACCGCTCGGGAAGCCCTAAAAGCCATCGAAGAAGTCCACAATGGAAGCGTCGATTGCAAAACTATGCTCGCTGAACGAGACTTAAAACTTCTGTTTTTTAAGTACGAGAATAGTGTTTATACACAGCAAGCAAACCTCGCTATCCGCACAGCCAACTTGATCTCTGATCTGCTGCCGACGGGGTCCGCAAAAGCATTGAACCTGTCAGGGGAATCAGTGCTGAGACGACACGAGGAGGTCTTGTACTCTATAGTTAGGAACAATTTAGAAAACGACCCTATTATCGTGGGATCCGCTATCATTTTTGACAACAACAGCTATGTAAATTATTCGTTTTACGCTCCGTACGCGTACCGTAATTCCGACGACTCGTTTATCAAAGTGACAGATTTATCCGCGAACTGGAGCTATCTTCACGAAGCCTTTGTCAAGTTGATGCGGATTAAATTACATAACCGGACTTTTCCGATACGGTCAACTTACTTCTATCCGCGGAGCAGGAGCGAAACAGAGCTGACACTAACACATTATTTTGTGGAGTCTAAGGATGGTCTCTGGAGCAGGCCGTATTTTGAATGCACAACAGCAAGAGCGTGGCTGATTACCTATACATCGCCAATATTGGGCAACTGGGACAAGAATGGACCAATATCTTTCATGTAAGTGCCAACCAAGTTTATGGGTTAGGAAACATTTCTTATCTTTCTCTTAAAGTAAAGGGACAAAGGTTTAAAAATAACCAATTTTGATTCAAAATGTCACAAAAAGGAACTTGAAATGGCGTCAGGGCTGTTTTAAAGAAGTTTGGCCTAATTTCCCCCATTTGATATTTAACTGTAAGTAGAAGGTTCTTAGACAGACACGCGGGAAGGAGACTTTGTGTTGACAATCAAGCCTTAGTTTGTGTGGCATACAAAACGTTTGTACTGAGATTTCTCTCCGACAAACCCCACTTGTTTGAGAGGGCCAAAATTAATTGAAAATTTAAGATAAGTCTCAATTTTAATTGTTTTCATCCCTAATTACTGAAAAACAAATGTTGCTGTGAAAAGTCTGAAAAACTGCTGCCCAAATAGACCGGATGTTATACAAATGGTGATACCGTATCGTAGGATTTCGTCTAGACACTAGAAACTTTGCTTCTTTTCTATGTAATTACCCTGGGAAGAAGCGAGAGAATGTTTTT